CCCCCCCCCCCCCCCGTGCCTTCTAGCTCAGCAATTGGCCATGGGGGGACCCCAGTTGCCCCCCCAGACCAAGGAGGCACCAGTTGTCAAGCTGGGAGGGCGCGGGGGGGAGGGCCCAACATGCTCCCTGATGGATCTGGAAGTGGACCGGAAGTGCTTCTGGATCACTTCTGGGTCTGCTGCTGAGTGCGGTGGGGAGCCCCCACACTGCTGTGGGATGCTCCATGCACCCCAGCATTGCAGCATTCACCAGCTGCCTGCTACCTAGAGGTATGTAGAAAAAACATTTAAAGTTGTGTCTATGTCCGAATCATCAAATCTTTCCAAATCTGTCCGAATCGATTTGGATAAATTAAAGGGTCCTCTGATTCAATCCAGATTCAGAGATTCCATGCCAAATCATGCCAAATCTCCACCAAATTGAATCAGGGACCAAAGCTTCACACAGCCCTACTTACTACCTCTTTCAGACATGGCTTTAACAAGGGTCATTCTTCACAGATTTAGAAAATATAAACTCAGCAGGGAGCACTGCAATAATTTATTCTCACCTCCTGTATAAAACAGGCCACAAGACCTCCTAGATTAATTCCTATTTCAACTAGAGGATAACTTTCAGAAAATCTTCCCATCCTGATTTAAAAATTGCTAGTGTTGCAAAATACACAGGAATCCTTGATATATTGTTACCATGAGTGTTAAAAATGTACACCTTATTTCAAGTCTGAATTTGTGCTGGTTCAACATCCAGCTATTGGATCTTTGAAATACATCTGTCTGTTAAATTGAGAAGACCTCTGTTATCAAATATCTATTCTCCATGTAAGGGCTTATGGTCTATGATCAAGCCTATTAGCTGACAGATTTTTCCCCCCTATTATCTTACCTAACTGCTAGAGTGGGATAACACTGGACTAAGTAGGGTAGTAATGGAGTCCCTTCTCAGAGGTTTTGAAAAAGAGTAGACAACTGTATGGGAATATACTAGGCAATCTCTTGAGGTTACTTCTAGCCCTGTTTGATTCTAACTCACACCTTAATCTTATTTCATAAACTAAGTAGATTGAGTTCCTTGAGGCTTTCACTGTAAAGCATGTTTTCCAATCCTTTAATCATCCTTATGGATCTTCTCTGAAATCTCTCCAGTTTCTTAGGATCCTTCATGAATTGTGGAATCCAAAATTTGATACAGTACTTTGGTGCCACAAGTGCTAAGTACTGACATGATGACTTCCCTACTTCCACTTAACATTCTCCTTTTCATACATTTAAAGATTGCCTTAACCTATTTGGCCACAACCATGCAAGGAGCCCCTAGTCAGCTGATTTCCCACCATGAGCTCCACATTCTTTTCTGAATTTCCCACCCTGAAAATATGACCTATTTTCTTTATGACATGCATTCATTCACATTTGTCTGTATTAAAACACATAGTTTGCTTATGCCCAGTTTAGCAAGTCAATCTGATTGCTCCCTCTTGGTGAGCTGTCTTCTTCTACTGTGTAGGCCTTAAGTAATATCATTACTATAACTATCCTCCTAAAAGGTCAAAGATCAGAAATTTATCATTAAACCAGTAGACCTTTCCTCCTGATACTGAAAAATGTTCTGGGCAAACATCCTCACAATCTTTAGAAAAGCAATCTGACCACCACATGCAATGTAAGTCTACTGCCTCCTTCAACTACTGTGTCAAGTTTTCTCTCTTTTTCTCCCTCCCTCTCATGCTCTGCTTTCTGTCTAATAAGAGTTCCTTTCAGTCAGCCAGGACAAATCTATCCTTGCAACTCTGCAACACTGCGCCTAGAGAGGCAACCTAAATACAATATCTGAGAAGCTCTATTTCAGTATAAGTTTATAACAACTGGGAAGAACTAATTTAATACTGAAATATACTTGTAGACTTTCAGCAACTAAAATGCACATATGAGAGACAAAAGCTTTTCTTGGGCCAGATCGTCAGGGCCTGCTAAGTCTTCTGTGTACCACTCCCATACATTCTGCAAAATTCAGAAATAAAATCAGTGGAGTTGCCCTTGGAATGAGTTTGGCACAAGAAGTTTCCGTAATACTCATAATGGAATGCTGCTAATGCCAGCTGAAACCTTCTAAAAGTTATCTCACTTGCAGAGAGGCAATATGGTCTGGTGGACAGGGCACTTCTACCATTGATCACTATGTGACCTTGAGCCACTAACTTCACCCTTCTGTTTCTCTTCCTATGCTTTGTTTAATTAGATTGAAAATTTATTTGCTTAGTACTACCCCTACTGCAATAAGGCCCTGATCTTAGGTGGGGTTTCTAGATGCTGCTTTAATATCAACAATTAATAATAATTATCTGATCAACCTGTATAATGGCAGCACTACTGTGACTATGCTTGCAGTGAGTTCCCTTGATCTATATTTTCACAGAGTCATGGGAACACTGTAACACATGTACCTGCTTTTGCTTACAAACAATGCCTCCTGAAAAAACCCTAACAATCACTGATGTTCAAAATCTCTTAGCTGATTCCACAGATGGGAAACCAGGTGAACAGCTTAATTGACTGTATGCTTTAAGTGAAACTTCTTTTTGTTGCCATTCACCACCCAGTATCATTCCCCCAAAGAAAGCTTTCCATGTTGTGACCTTAAGCAAGATTAATTTCCTGCCACCCAACAGTAAGTTGGTAAATCTGGCAAATATATACTCAAGTGTATTTAGGCCATCTAATTTGAGGGAAAACAGCTGTTGTCAAACAGCTGGTGAGGTTCCATCTTTGAGATTATCCACTTTCTTCATATGTCCCAAATGCAAGTGAAGATCAGACTAGATATTAACATAGCACTGAAAAAAGGAACTCTCAAGTTAGCAAAACTCAGGAGGGACAAATGAAAACACAATATCTACCTGTTAGTTTATAAGCTGTAGTCTTTTCATATGGCAAAATTGTTCCCATAGTCTGGGAACAATTTACTTTATAGAGACCTATCCTATCTGGCAATATGTTCCTCAAAGTAGTATTGGGTATGGAAGTTTCTAATAAGAGACTAACCTTTCTTGCTACAGACGAAGCTTTAAAGACTCACTGAGGCTTCCTGGAAATTCCTAAGAAACATTTTTGTTTTTTGTTTTTTTAGAGCTGAATACTACCAAACTTTGGACAAGATCAGAGCCAGATATGAACTTTGCAGCTGTCCTTTAGATTTTTAATGGGCTAAACCAAACTGTATCATACGACACACACTGAACTCAGAACACTTTAAAGTTAGGGTTTGAACAATGAGACTTGGGTCCATTTCCAGTTCCTTGTAGAAATAAGTTTGCATCTTTGTCATATAGTCTATTTCTTTTGCTACTCCTGTTCTTTATTACTGGGGTCATATGGCAAAATACAAGCCCTTTGTGTTTCTGTGTGTATATATCTATATATCTTCCCTAGCATCTTATTTCTCATCTGGAGCTGTAATCAGTCTCTAAAGAGTCACATCTAGCTGGAAAGGAAAAGACTGCAGTGCTACCGGCTGTAGGGTCATCTTCAGAGGGGAACAAGAGCAGAAACAGGGGTAGGAAGCAAATATCTTACTGGGGAAAAATCTCCATCTCACAGAGCCTCCTGAGAAAGCATAACTCACCATCTGACTGTTTCAGACAATTGAAGCTGACAGAAGCTAAACCAGCAGTTGCACAAAATACAACAAGAAAGACTTATACTTACAGGTGGCTTGGAATGTACTGCATAATACTTTAACTGCTAAGCTTCCATATCAAGAGGGTCAGCACAATTGTGGGATGTCTGTATGATGACAGAGAATACACTCTAATACCAATCAGAGCTAGCTGTCTGTCTCAGTTCATACCCTGGTAGAAAAATAAGCACTTGTCTGGAGGAAGTCAAAAGAACAGGACACTTTGCTGTCTGATAGGAGAGGTGAACACACATACCAATTTGTCACAAATCAATTAACTACAGTATAGTAGGCTAAATAGCAATGGCAGCAAATGATTTTTAACAATATTAATTAATTGGAATGTTCTTTTGTTTTGTACTATATGTTATTTGTTATATTATAAACTATATTATGTGCTTACTCATAAACAGCATTGCTGAGTCACAGAGTGAGTACTACAACAATGCACACTCAAAGGAATTGTCACAAAGCTAGTATGAATTAGTCTTTCTCAGTATGGTTTGGGGAAGATCACAGCTGGAGTATTACATTCAGTTCTGGGCATTTCATTACAAAGAATGTTGAATAGAAAGAATAGAAAGAAAGAAATTAGAAAGAATATTGACAAACTGAAGGGAATTCAGAGGAAAATCAACAAAAATGATCAAGTGGCTGAAGGAATTGACTTATGAGGAAAAATGTACCCACTTACATAAACCTACAACAGCAGGTAATCAACGCATTTTAGTGCACCAAACAGATCAATCATTTCTATTCATAAAAATATTCTTCTTCTCCACTATATGAAAACTTATGGAACACTGATAGAACTTAATGTACCCAGGGACTGTATTCCTTTTGAAATCTTTATAACACATTTCATAAACTATATATAAAATCAACAATGTGTTGTAAATACAAATCGTGTTTCCTTTATGGAACCAAACAAGGGGGTTGACTTAAGGTTCAATGGGCAGCTAAGAACTGGCAGGATGATAAGTAGCGTCGAATCATATGGGACTACAAAACCTGGCTCCGTTCTTTAATTGTTTAGTTCCAGGCTCACCACAGTTTGGTGGAGTTTTTTTGTAAATTGTATTGGGGTATCAGCCAGATTCTAATGAAAGCCATTCCCCATCTTATTTGTTTATAACACTTTCTCGAGGAGCAATTTCCTTGGGTTTTGAATCTGTGCAAGAAAAGAAAAAATGGATTGTTGTTTGAGAATAGGAGACCTGTTCTGTCAGCCCAAATAAGACCCTTCCTAAAGTGGATCACTCTGTAGATGTAGCAGCTTTGTGAAAGGTTTGTGTGAGATACTTAGGTGGGAGAGATGCTTGGATAGGACATGGAAATACTGGCCAGTGATGTCAAAAAATAAGAGAAGTTATAATAATGCCTAACTCTTATATAATGATTTTTGTTCATAGAGCTCAAAGCACTTTGAAAAGGAAGTGAGTATCACTACCCTGATTTTACAAGTAGAGAAACCGGGACACAGAGAGAAGTGACTTGCCCAAAGTCTCTGGGTAGGCTGATGACAGAGCTGGGACTAGAATCCAGTTCCCCAGCGTCTTTCTCCAAGGTTCGGCCTCCTCAATGACAATGCCTAAGATTTTATGGTTGTGGGAACCTTGAATCACTTCATATTTTATATGTAGATGATTGTAAGCATATAACCAATACAAAACCCACTGATGCTCCCTGTCTGCAGCTATGCCTGCCACAAACTTGGTACACTCTTTGTGATCCCCTGCTAACTGGTGTTCAGTACTTTCTGCTGCTTTCTCCAAAGAACCCTTCAGTTCAGCTGTCTCCACTCTAGTGCATTTCCTGGCTGTGTTGCACA